AAAAATAGAAATACTATATGATCCAGCAATCAAACTACTAGATATCTATCTAAAGAAAATGAAATTAATGTGTTGAAGAGACATCTGCATTCCTGTGTTCATTGCAACATGATTCACAGTAGCCAAGATGGCAAGATAAAGAAAATATGGTACACATATGTATGGAATACTAGTCAGTCATAAAAAGAATGGGATCTTGTCATTTGGGACAACATGGATGGAACTGGAGATTATTATGTTAAGTGAAATAAGCAAGGTACAGCAAGACAAGTACTGCATGATCTCACTCATATAGGAATCTAAAAAAGTTGATCTTATAGAGGTTGAAGCTAGAATGGTGGTTACCAGAGACTGGGGAACACGTGTCGGGGAGAGAGAGAGATGGGGGGAGGTTGATCAGAGGTTGATCACACTAAGTTACAATTAGATAGGAACAAGTTGTGGCCTGCTGTTGCACAGTAGGATGATTATAGATAACAATAATGTGCTGTACTTTTCTAAAAGCTAGAAGAAAGGATTTCGAAGGTTTTTGACATAAAGAAATGCTAAATATTTGAGGAGATATGTTTAACCTGATTTAGGCATTATACAATGTACACATATATCAAATCATCACATTATCCCACTAATGTAATTTATTATTTTAAAACTTTTTTTAGTTGTAGATGAACACAATACTTTTATTTTATTTGTTTATCTTTATGTGGTGCTGCTGACTGAACCCAGTGCCTCACACGTGCTAGGCAAGCATTCTACCACTGAGCTACGGCCCCAGTCTAATACACATGAATTTTATGTTCTTATTTGCCAGTTAAAATGAATTTAAATATTAAAAATTTAAAAGAAATTCATTAGGCAAATTCAGTAGCATTACCATGTATCCTAAAATAAATTTTTATCTGTTGCAGGAGGGATCAAGAATCCAAGTTCTAGAATCAAATGGACCTGATTCAAGCCCCATTTTTTTGGAGTACTGGAGTTGAATTCAGGGCCACTCGACCACTGAGCCACATCCCCAGCCCTATTTTGTATTTTATTTAGAGACAGGGTCTCACTCAGTTGCTTAGTGCCTTGCTTTTGCTGAGGTTGGCTTTGAACTCATGAACTTCCTGCCTCAGCCTCCTGAGCTGTTGGCATTACAGGCATGCACCACTGTGCCCAACTGAAGTCCCATCTTTGTTACTTGATCTCTGCTCTGGCTTTAGTTGCTTAACTTTTCAAAATTTCAGTTTCTTTATCTCAAATGAATTTCATAATATAAAGCTTATAGAATTTTTGTGGGATTCAAAGGAGATAATGCATTACTATGGACTTGTTTTCTCCCAAATTCATATGTTTAAATTCTTATGCCAATTTGCCTGTATTTTGAGTTAGGAAATCTAGGAGGTAATAAAGATTAAATGAGTCTATAAGTATAGGATATAAGAAGAGGGAAACACACACACTAAGAGGTCATACGAGCACACTGCAAGAAAGTGACTGCTTACAAGCCAAGAAAGTGTCCTCAGAATGAAACCTACCTTGCTGGCACCTTGATGGTAGACTTTCCAGCTTCTACAACTATAAGAAAGAAATTGTTTAAGCCACCTAGTCTATGGTATTTTGTTATGGCATCCAAGCTTACTACCACAGATGTTGGTACTGTGGAATAAGGTGCTGCTGTAACATATACCTAAAAATGTGGAAGTGGCTTTGGAACTAGTTAATGGGTAGAGGCAGGAAGAATTTTTGGGTGCATGCTAGAAAAGCCTATTACCATGTATAGATTTTCGGTAGAACTAAAGTTCATTCTGATGAGGTCTTAAATAGAATTGAAGAACATATCATTGGAAATTGGAAGAATGATAGTCTTTGTTATAAACTGGAAAGAACGTGACTGAACTGTGTTCTGATATTTTGTGGAAAATAAAATTGTGAGAAAAGAAATTGGATATTTAGTTGAGGCCTCCCTCTCTCCTTTCCTTCCTTTCTTCCCTTCTTTCATGCTGGGAAACAAACCCAAGGCTCATATATGCTAGGCAAGAGCTCTACCACTGAACTACACCCCCAGCTCCCTGAACTGAGATTCCTAACCAAAGTTTTTAAGGGGTGACTTGGTTCCTTCAGCTTGCCAAAGAAGAAAGATGAGTTGAGGAAGAAATTGTTAACCAAAAATTAAATACTTAAGGACCTCTGGAGAGTGAAGCCAGGGGCCCATAACCACTGGACCACATCTCTAGCCCTTTTTATTTTTTGAGATAGGGTCTCAGTAACTTGCTGAGGCTGACCTCAAACTTAAGATCCTCCTGCCTCAGCCTCCCAAGTACCTGGGATTACAAGTGTGCACCACTGTGCCCAGCTTCTCAGCTTGTATTGCAAAAATGGAGGAAAATTGTTCTAAAGAGAACATCAAGGGTGTGACTGTACTCTCTCCTTAAGGAGATTACCCATGACGTTAACTGTTTATCTCAGCAGAATCCATGAATAAGTTTGAACCAAGTAACAGAGACACTGACAGTTTGTAGCAAAGGGAACAAGACAGCAGGGTAGATTTATTTGGCTTCAAATATGCTTTATCTGGCACGAAAAGGAAAGGATGACATGAAGGAAATTCAGAAGTCACCAGGGCTGTCATTCCCACCACAAACCCAGAGTGCATAGGCCTAAGGGTCAAGGTTGTTGTGCCAAAGGGCAGTACTGAGGACAAAACAGCTGTATGGACAGGGCTAGCTCTCCAACAAAAGAGGGCAGGGGCTCCTCCACAGAGATGTGATGGTGAGTCTGCTATCCCTGGGGGCTTGAAGGGCAGAATGTTGAACTAAAGATTATTCAGGGGCTGGAGATGTGGCTCAAGCGGTAGCGCGCTCGCCTGGCATGCGTGCGGCCCGGGTTCGATCCTCAGCACCACATACCAACAAAGATGTTGTGTCCGCCGAGAACTAAAAAATAAATATTAAAAAAAATTCTCTCTCTCTCTCTCTCTCTCTCTCTCTCTCTCTCTCTCTCTCTCTCTCTCTCCTCTCTCACTCTCTCTTTAAAAAAAAAAAAAAGATTATTCAGTAACCTTAATTTCTAATGGAAATTTTCTTGCTATATTTTGGGCTTGCTTGATACCTGATACCTTTGATTCCAATTTCCATCTATTGGAATGGAAATATCTATCCTACCATTGTATTTTGGAAACATGTAACTTGTCTGGTTGCATAGAAGAGAAATTTTGCCTTGAGGTGAATGGTACCTTGAATCTCATCCATATATGATTAGATGATATTTAGATGAGACTTTGGGTTGCAGACTTTAGAGTTGATGCTGGAATGCATTAAGGCTTTTCAGGTTTGGGGGATGGAATGAATGTATTTTTCATGTATTTTTGAGGGGCTAGGGATGAAATTCTATAGACTGATTGTGTGTCCCTAAAATATGTTTCAATCAGTTCCCCTCAATGTGACTGTAGTTGGAGATAGGCTCTCTAGAAGGTAATTAGGTTAAATGTAATCATAAGAGTAGGGCCCTAGTCTGATAGGATTGGTGGCCTTGTAATAAGAGGAAGAGAGAGACGTCTTTTACTCTTTCCCTGTACTCATGCACTAAGGAAAGACCATGTGAGCACACAGGCAGAAGTCAACTGTCAACAAGTCAAGAAACAAGACCTCAGTATGAAAACCTTTCTTGGTGGTAACTTGATCCTGGACTTCTAACCTCCAAAACTATGAGAAATACATTTACATTGCTTAAGCCATCCAGTCTATGGCATTTTATGGTAGCTGAGGAGACTAATACAACATGTAAAAATCTTGGCATATAGTAGAAATCGATTGTACAGATTGTAAAATGCATGTAAACTAAATAATGGAGGAGACTGTTTACCGTATTTCAAATGACAAGCTTTTTTAAGTACATTAGCAGCATTCCTTTTTTCTCATTGACAAATTTTTATTTTATTTGAATCAAAATAATTGTCCATATTTATGGGATACAGTGAGATTTTAGTATATGTATACAATATGTGTAATGATCAGATCAGGGTAACTGGCACATCCATCACCTCATACATTTTTCATTTCTTATGTTGAGAATATTTGAAACCATCTCTACTAGCTATTTTGAAATATACAATTATAGTCATTTTCAACCATGGTTATTCTGCCATGCTATATAATGTTAGAATTAATTCTTTCTATCCAAAGGCACCCTTGTACTAATTATCTATCTTCTTCACCTCTTTCCCTCCTCCACACCCTTTCCAGGATCTGGTAACCACTATTCTGTACTTCTTTGAAATAAACTTTTTTTGCTTCCACATATAAGTGAGAATATGTGATGTTTGTCATTCTGTGCCTCACTTATTTCAGTTAATGTAATGTCCTCCAGTTCTATCCATTTGCTGCAAATGACAGTTTCATTCTTTGTTAAGGCTGAATAATATTCCACAGTACAGGATTCTCTTAAAATTCCAATTACTATTACTACTATATTATAATATGTTATGGAGTAATAAAGTAATATTGTTACTCTATATTAGAAACAATTGCAATATCATAAGAAGGGTTATATTCTTATATAATTATATACTTATTATATGATGGTAATATCATAATTAATAATATTAATATTACTGTTAACTTAAGTGGGCCTCGGGGTTCTTATCCTAGTGAAAATTTTTCACCTTATGGCCCTCTGTGTAAAAATAATAAGCCTATCATTTGTTAGAACTATTTAATAATTCATTATTTTTATCAATGACAATAGGTGCCTAGTATATTTCCATCTAAGCAGTCTTTCTACTAGAAAAATCCTTATAATGTGAATTCCCACTTTTAAAAAACATGAAAAAATAAGGAGGGCTCTCTGTGAGCTGCACCTAGGCAGATACAAAGACTCGCTGGCCTTCACTTCCTATGAATGCAATCGCACCATACTTGTGCATCCTAGTATAAATAACATATGTAACAGTAAACTCAAATTTAGAACATCCATTGCTCTTTTGGAATTTTTAGTAATGGAAATTTATTCTTTCACAGGTACCAAGGTTACATTTATACATACCGAGTGTCCCAGACAGAAACAGGTTCTTGGAGTGCTGAGGTATAGCTCTTTTATTTATTTTTGCTTCTGTGGGTATCAGGGAGGTGTTTGATATTTAGGTTGGCTTTATAAACGAGAAGTCACATTAAACATTATCAAAGTATTCATCAAATTTAAATCACTAAAGCTCGTATCAAAAAATTTTCATGGGTTATTAAGTAATCTTTGGAGAATTTTGGTCCCAGTCCTGTTCAGCCACCATGTGTGGAGTGGTCTCACTTTGGGGAAAGATAAAAAAGTTGAAAGATTATGTCAAACTTTTTGTGCATAAATGAAGTTTCAGAAAGCCTATAAAAGCCAATAAAATAGCTGGACGCAGTAGGGCATGCCTGTAATCCAAGCAATTCAGTAGGCTGAGACTGGAGGATCTCAAGTTCAAAGTCAGCCTACGCAACCTAGCCCTGTCTCAAAATTAAAAATCGAAAAATAAATAAATCAAATGACTAGGGATGCAGTTCTGTGGGTAAGTGCCACTGGGTTCAATCCCTGGTACACAAAAAGTGGGAGAGGATAATTAAATCAGATATATTTCTAAGTGGCCCCAATAGAAGTTTGGTGCTGTTGGGAATTTAAAAAAAAAACATAATTACTGTTTTCTAAGAGTTTATAAAATCCTTCAGAGATATAACATGAAATTAAACAGTAGTGGGCTTCATTGTCAAGTGCACCAGGTTTCAGGTCTGGTCCCTGTTTTTCCCCAATAGGCCTGAGACTTTAGATAGGTTACTTCACTGTTATGTGAACCAGTTTCTTCATTTGTAAAATGAGTCTGAAAATAGTTCTTTACTCACAGGGCTCATTTCGAGGACTAATTGAAATAATGCATGAAAAGAATCTTTTAGTCATAGGGCCTGGCACCTAGTAAAAATGTGAACTCTTGAAAATTGTTGAACAAAGTGATTGTATATAGTCCAGTGCTGTGTTATCTAGAACAGGAGTTCAAAGAACAGAGAATTTCCAAGTATTAGGGTGGTCAATGCTGCTGTGTGTGAGGAGGCAGTAGGCCCGGCTGAGCCATGATTGGAAGCCTATGGAGAGTTGGAATAGAGGAGAGGATACATTCTTGTGTTTTTATGATATGCTCTGCAAAATCCTAGTGTTCTGTCTGGAACACTGGGGCTTCTTGCAGCAGGTGGGGGGTGGTGCAGGAGAAGAGGAGGTAAGTGGGTATATTTCTCAGTATCTACACCTTGGATTCAATCTGAGCAGTTCCTTTTTTATTTTAATTATAATCTAGGGCTCAGAGTAATAGTTCTTTACAACAAAGGGTTCTTGTGACTTTGAAAATGTTTGAAACTCACTGTACCATTCTAAGAAAGGCCTATAGAGTGAAATCCATTTCCATGGACTAGAGTTGTATGGTATATCACTTCTTATCAATCATTGAGGCCTCTACTGAAACTTTTAACTACATATGCTTTCTATGGGTTCTCCTTACAGCTGTCCATCTTTATAATGAAAGTATAAATGCAGTTTATACATAACATATATAATAAAATATAATGAAAATTTATTATGAAATTTTGGAAATCTAAATGCTAACATCAACATTTATTAAAAACTTAGTTTATGCATTTAGGAAACTCTAAAGTGTACATTTAAAAAATTAAAAGCTCGAAGCTTTACAAATTCATCAGTAAACTTGAAAGTACTAATTATAGAGTACAAACATTTTGAACTACTTAGATGTATTAGGGCAAGTTTTCAAACACATTATTACTTTATACCAGGATAATTAATACTATAATACTAACTAAAGGAAAAGCAATATCATTTCTAATCAAAACTGTTCCTGATTATTTTTTAAAATACTCTATCACTGAAGAGATATTAAATAAAAAATTAAACTTCATTTATCATGAAGGATAGTTACAAATATGTGTGTGTGTGTGTGTGTGTGTGTGTGTGTGTGTGTGTGTGTCCAGAAATAGTTCTTGTCTCTAGGGAAGTATCCTTTGTTGCTGAAAAATATTTTCTATGAATGGGATCTCAGATTCTTAGAGTTTAACAACATTGTTTTTAAACGTGTTTTCCTCCATTTCAAACATAGCATCATATGCAGATTGTTACACTCTTGTGACCAAGTTAAAGAGAGGGCTTATTGAACATAAATGCCCCCTCTTCCATCTGTTTAATCTGACCCTGTTTATATAATGATATTGCAATTATCTGCACCAAGAGAGCAGAAGATTGGCATGGATTATCCCCCAATACAAAACAGTTCAAAATTGTTTATTTTTGAAATACATATTGCATTTTTTTTCTGTCTGCTGAATTTGCCTTCTTAGTTATGTTTTTCTAAGGTGAATATTAAACTAGTATGTATTCTTGGATCTCATATCACCTGACTAGAAAAATTTTCTAGAGCATATTGAAGACCAGCTGTGATCCAAAACATGTTTCCATGGATAGCTAAGAGGTGACAGTATGGGAAATGTACAGATTTGAATAACAGCTGAGTTCAGTGACAGGATGAGAGTTGTCAGTGGTACTATTCTTGTGGTAAATGTATTTTCAAAATTGGGTAAATGATAGATATTTATACTGCTTTTTGGAATAACATTTTAGTTTGCCACACTGTAAGACAAAATCATGGCAGTAATACTCCATCTTTTGTGAAAAGATTATATTAGAAATCTAGGCAAGTCTGAGATTTGTTTTAAGGAGTGGGATGAAATTGAACCTTGGATCCAATTAATTTCAAAAGACAAATATTATGTGTATTTTTCATTTTAAGTAGACCTTTAGTCTAAGCTATTAACTTAGCTCCTGTGACTCAGGGTAAAATTTTGCTGAATTATTAATTTAGAAAATTCTACATATAGCTAACTATCATTTCTTAAAATGTGAATTGTCAGCAGTACATTTGTAAAGAATGCACTGACCTCTCCCTGCCAACTTTAGTGCCTTTGTGCTTTTCTGGGTCTTTTTTTATCACAAGATCAGTAGATACTAAATAATTTTACTTATTCATGCAAACAAAACGCTATAAATTAGGTCAATCATGTGCTAAGAAAATATTACATTCCAAATTGAAATTATTTCTACACATCCAGTGCTGTCATTTTTCTCTGTCGGCATGGATAATCAGTACCCAGCAAAATGATGCTTCTGTTGATAAATGGTTTTATGAACCACAGGAATAGTTAAAAAGATGTGTGGTTTGAAGTCTTTCCACAGAGGGGAGGGTATAGTTTCTCCTCTTGGTGGTGACTCTGACTTTATTAGAACCATGCTGTTTTGGATGAAGTCTCAATAGAGTTTTAGGAAGGTGTCTGGAACACAGAGATTGAGCTGGGTGGGAGACTGTTCTACATCACTAGAAGCATATGAATGGCCATTAATTGGGAGCTAAAAGAACTTTTGCAGTGTTTTTGATGGAAAATTACTTACCCCAATGTAGAAAATGACCAAGAGTTAGCATGGACAGACTAGTTATTTCTAGCATATTGTCTATTTGATAGAAGTCTGCATGCCAATCTTCATGTTTTCTCATTAAATGTTAAAAAACAAGCAGCTTCCACCTCAAAAATTTTCAATATAGAATAGCTGAAAAGTAACTTTTTAAAAGAGAAAAAACTAGTCATTGTTCAATTGCTCAAGCAATACTAATTTATTTTATGTAAAATGACAGTTTTGAGCTGATGCCTAAAGCTTGGCTCATAAACTTCTGCGGGAAATTGTTATTGAATTCAGGCAGTGTTTTTGCAAGGGAACTGATGTTAGGGAAGCAAAACATTTTAATAGTCACCTGCAAATAATGATCTCCTTAAAAACAAATAAATAAAGGTGACCTTATATAGCTTTTCATTTTCATGTCACAGGGAAAATCTTGTCACAATACAATGCTGATGGAGTGAGAAATTTGGGGGAGGATAGGGAAATTTCCCAAAGAAGAAAAAATTTAATGTGAGGGATGAAGCAGGACACAGAAGGTGAAAGAGATGAGGACTAATTAGCCATGCATTGTGTATATCCTAACAGTCAATTTTTAATTTCCTGTGTAGTATTTTGTATTGTGAAATGATGTCAGGGAGGAGGGATTGTTGGTTGTTTTTGGGTTCCTCAGTCTTTTTATTAATGACCTGTAGGATCTGTGCTTTTTCTATGTTTAACTGCATCCCTCTGTTGCTAAATTCATTGTGGGTAATGGCCTGTATACCCTTAGAGGTTCAGGATGTATAATGGATAGCAGGCAGGAAGGGCAGGGCAATGAACAAGAGCTTGTACAAACTAATACCACCCTTGGGAGAACTGAAATGACAGCTCATTAGCTCTTCTTGCAGGGAAATTCAGCCAACCAAAGTAAGCTCTTCTGGGATGTTTTTTTTTTCTTCCTTATGTTTTCAAATATTTGAAGAAGTTATACAAATGTTACTTCTCTAAGCATCCCTCCCACATTTTGTAGGCCTTTTTGTAGTATTATGAGGTAGGTAAATAATTTGCTTGGCCTTTTATTTTCCAGACAGCACCTGGGGTACATAAAAGATTTTTCCGGAAAATAAAAAATCTCATTTCAGCATTTCAGAAGCCAGATCAAGGCATCGTAATACCTCTGCAGTATCCGGTTGAGAAGTCCTCTGCTAGAAGCACACAAGGTACTACAGGTATGGTTCAGTGTTGATTTTTGACAGGGTTTGGAAGCTGAGTGTTAAGGAATCAGCCTATTCATAAGCATATAATCAATTGCAAGTTCTGTAAGAAAAATATAATGAATAGATACAGCCAGCAAATCAAGAAAGAGAGGTGACTATTTATGTGCCATAATTTCAGTCTGCTATACTATAAGCTTGTCATAAAACTGCAAAAATATAAAAAGTTCCACGAAGTCACAACTTCTTTATATTTTATTTTTTGCAGTACTGGGGATTGAACCTAGGGCCTTGTATATACCAGGCAAGCACTTGACCACTGCACTATATTCCCAGCCCTGAGGTGATATGACATTTTAATCTCCTTTGTCCCATCTTGTGCTTTCAGTCTTTTTAAAATATAGATAAACACTTGATCTAAGCCAAAAGACTGAGAAGCGGTTCCCTTTTGTAGCTATATAAGTACCATTTCACTTTGCTAATCTAGACATTAATGATTGAAAGATGGGCTAATTCAGAGAACTCCTGGGCTGTCCTTTACCTTTGTCTGGTAAACTAGTTTTTTTGTTTAGGAATATAAAGGCTAATGTTAGCCCAGTCCACGTGATTTTGATTTCTGAATTGGTGGTGCTTGAATGAATTATATTTTACTACCACAAATGAAATTCAATTGCTAAACGTTTTTGTTCCACTGCCACAAGTTGGCTAATTGTTCTTTTCTGCCCAATATGCCAGGCTTTATAACTCAGTTTTAAATAATAGTTGCTTGAAGTCTATCAATGCACTGCATCATTGTGAATTTCAGGCTGTTGGAAATTTTACAACTTAACCTGTAATCATAATCCTTTGTAAGTTGATCTTTTCTTGATTTTTGTTATTCTTTTTCATTAGGGAGAAGAGATTCTGATGTCTGCCTGAAAGCACCATGAAGAAAAATAATACACCTTGTACTTTATTTTCAATAATTTAAATATATGCTAAGTCTTGTATATTGTAGATAATATAGTTCAGTGAGCTATAAATGCATTTCTAACATCATCATAGTCCTGTACTGGAAGTATGTAGTCTGATGTTAAAGTTGAAATGGATATTGTAGATAATGAGAAGTTTTGAAATGAGGATTGGGAAAAAATAATTCCTTAGGTTATTTTTAGTTATTATATTTACAAATAGGAGACAATTTAAAGCATAATGAATACTTTATAGATTAATGTCAGTTCTTGCCAAGTATAAATAAAAATAATTCTCTTTTTTTTGTAAAAAGCACCATTTTTAGTGAAATGTTATTTGATAGTTACCTATTTTTAAATTCTTGCTTGATTGTATGGTGGAAAGGTGGTTGGTGTTCCTTGTCTTTGTCGCATACAGTTCTTCACTCGCTATGGTGTAATAGGCTCTTTTGGGAGTTATGAAGAAGTATGCTAAAATAAGTACTAAAGAGTAAAGAATTTTGTTTAAATCTCAAAGAAACCTTCTTGCCATGTTCTGATGTTGGGTAGTAAATTTCACAGACCATTTTGGAATTTAAAATCTTATGCCTTACATGTTTATTGTATTTGATGCTATAGGTTTTGAAATTATATTTGAAATCTGATGAACCATATTTTTATTTTCATTTTCTTCTGTCTCTCTACTACACGTAAAGACTTATTTGAAGGAACTCTTCAGTAGCTGTGGCTCATGATTGATTTGTGAGCAGTCTCCCTATTAGGTAACCCTTACAAACCATCGGAAAGCTTATGACATATTAATTTTTAACAATTCTGAGTGATTGAAACCTGAGTGAGAGTCAAACTTGTATGCAGTATTTTCTTCTCACATTTATCTATTCAATATTTTTGTGTTTGATTATATGCCATGTTGCTTCAGGGCTCCCAGAATTCACTCACTTAACAAAATAATAGTGCACTGGGGTAGAGGAGTAAAAACATTTGTTCCCTACCTTCACAAAGTTCACTGGATAAGAAGACAATATAATAAAAGACAATAAAGGAAACTAAAAATGACAAGAAAACAACCACAATAAAAGTCCCTACATACTTAAGTGAGGTTCTCAGTGTGTAGGTAGACCTGTCTTTAGAGTCAGAATGAATCACCACAAATACTTTGGTCCGTGTTTCATAGGAAAAGGCTGTTTCATTGTAAGCTAATATATTGGAATTCTGGGTTATGCATGAATGTTATGAGTTTGGTTAATAATTAATGAACTGCTTAGAGAGCTGGTTAGATCTGATTTCTGAGCATTTAACATGAATTCTATGAGAATGCAAAGGTGGAGTATGGCCGTAGGAATGCATGGTGGCAGTTCATCATTTCTTGAAGAGCCTTGCTTTAACTTGTAAAGGAATTCAGAAAACCTACTTTTAAAATAAAATTTATATGATTAAATGAACTTTAAATATTTGTAGCTTGCATTTAAATATTTAATACATGTAACCATTTTTTTTTACTTTTCCTAACTTGTTAATTCTGGAATAATTTTAAATATATGAATGATGTTTGCTTTTATGAGGGTCTATTTTGGAAAATGTTTTCTGGAATTATTAGTTTTTTACATTCTAATGTAAAATCAAAAGTATTCAAATGCTTTATTTACCTAATTTGTCTTAAAATATTCCCTTAAAAATATTCAGAGACAGATGCTAATTAATAAACTAAATAAAGCACTCATGTAGGCTACCTTACTTATCTTACTGGACTGATTCCCTAGAAAAGATAAAATCTTTTTTACTATTGTCAAACTTTCCAGTTGATGAGCCTATCCTATCTTCTTTGCTTGATCTTTTATTCATCAAGGTTTTTTTTTACTTTTTCATTACCAACATGAGCATCATTATTATTTCTCAGTATGTAATAGGTTGCACCTATACAGAAAGGTCATATTCTTGCTGTATCTAAAATATTGCCATGTTAACATGAACTGGTAAGATGCTGAGTCGAGGTAGAAAAATGCAGACTAGTTCCAAGCATACACCTCTCTTTAGAAAAAAAAAAAGTGTCAGCAAGCCCACAAGGAACATGACAGCTTATCAAATACTAGTTTATTTCCTCTGAAATTTGTTCTTAAGAGATAAGGTCAGCTGGGAGACAAGCTTAGGTAATTGTTTGTTACAGGCAGGGAAACTTGTGGCAGTGCATAGGTAGAATAAGTCTACCTAAGATCAAGTCCTTTGGTATAAATAATGTGTTGGATTTAAGGTATTCTTTGTGATAGAATGGATAGAAAATTTTAAAATGTGAGAAGTGTTTTCAAATCTATTAAGAATATTTTGACATCAGCTCATGTTTTATTTATTTTATTGAGCTCAGAATCTAAAGTCTATTGATAATAAAACGCAGATTTTCCCTTGAGTATTTCAAGGTTGCAGGATGTCTAGTTTTCCTGTGATGGTATCATAAATTCAACTTTCCCATCTGTGTTTGCCCTTACAGTAAATGGGATACCATTGTTTTACTGTTTGCAGCTAAGAATGAAGTTAAAATATCTACTTTGAACTTTTTTTTATAATTTGGGATCACTGGCTAAACTTGTAATAAAAGGTTGAATTCTTATCATTGGGTTATTTGGTTTGTTTTTTAGCCTTTTTTTGGGTATTTAATTAGAGATAGGGTTTCAATGAGTTGCTTAATTTTTCCTTGTTAATTGCTGAGGCTGGTTTTGAACTTCCTATCCTCTTGCCTTAACTTCCCAAGCCTCTGTGATTATGGGCATGTCCCTTCATACTCAGCAGGGTTTTTTTTGTTGTTTGTTTCTTAAATGAAGATATTCTTAATGTATGAAGATAAAACAAACGTGACAAACTGGATAGAGCATATTAACATACACACACATCCATCCATACACATATGTATCTTGACTACATGCCCCACTATGCACAAAAAAGAAATTGTTCTCACAAGATGACAGAAGGTGATGCCACACTCAGTATTGGACAGAGAACGAAAGCAGTAATACATAAGACCTGAATTTTTCTTTCACCTCAGTTACCGAAAACCTATGTGAACTTAGGCAAGAGTTTGTAACTGTTACTGCATTTGCTAAGTGGGAATAATTAAATCCTACTTACCTCATAGAATTATTGAGGTACTAGAATTATATAACTTCAAGGTAGTAACATTGCAAAATGTTTGATTACATTGATATTCAAAGATCTCTAAAAGTGAGGTGAATAGAGAAGAAAAAAAAGGAGAAAGCCCTCATTTCCTTTAATAATTCTGCCAATGTAGGAGTTCCTGCCTTTTTATTATTTATTGTTATATTTTTGGCACCAAAGATTGAACCCAAGGATGCTTAAACACTGCACCACATTTCTAGCCCTTCTTTTTTAAATTTTGAGACAGGGCTTCACTAAGTTGCAGAGACTGGCTTTGAACTTGAAATCCTCCTGACTCATCTTGCCAAGCTGCTGAGATTAAAGGCATGTGCCACTATGCCTGTCTTCTTCTTCTTCTTCTTCTTCTTCTTTTAAATACTCAAGAGTTTGGTATGTTGTATATGTTGAAGAAAAACCCCAGGTGATGCTAATGTCAACTCCCTTTTGTTGATAGGTTGTGAATCTTCTCACTCTGTGTATATGTGTGTGTGTACCATGCTAACATGAACCGGTACATATAATAGATATATACACTTATACATACATACATATATACATGTATATATATGTAAGTATGTAGATATATGTTTATACATGTGAGATATATATATATATATATATATATATCTCAGGGCATTTTGAAGTGGTGTACATTTCAGCACAGGATAGTTGAACTCTCTTTGCCCCTGTAGTGTCAAGTTGAATTTTTTCTTTTGGCCAGTTTCCCCAGTGTCACTTGGAAATATCTTCTTGTGAAAAACAAGCGACAAATGGCAATTATAATTGTTTATGGCCTAGTGCCTTGGAAAAGCTGTTGTGGTTTTTAGTCTATTATGAGTGAAACCCCTCTATGTCAAACATCTGTTTTTTTTGCCAAATGCATTTGGGCATCCTGGTCTTCTAACTATCCTTCCCTAGCTTTTTCTGCTATTTTTAATTTTCTTTCTATCACTGAGAAAAGCATCAAAGGGATAGAGTAAAACCTTTGAAAAAGTCATAGCCTAGAGGCATTTAAATTCACAGCATCTACTCTTCTTTGTTTATTAAGTGGTCATTTGTGTCAGAGATCCTATTTGTATGAATAATAAAAATGAAGAGACACCTGGCTAGGATTAGTGCCTTTTTGATTTCTGCACCTACATTTTCGAGATGATGTGGTTTTTATTATTCCCCATCAGGGAGTTACTTTTCCTATCTCAGGTGACCAGACTGACTTGAGAATGCAGTTTGGCGCATGAATAAACTGGGACACGGTGTTCGTTTGCAATTTTATTTTTTAAAAATGAAATATTCAAAGTACTTTTCTTTCAAATATCGACACATAATGTTTAACTTTAAATATTTACAGCATGTTGTTGTGATGCTCTTGTAGAAAAATGCATGCTTCTGGCCTGAAAGCCAGAGCAAAATGCAAAAGACCATTTAACTGCAGCCAGAGAACATGAACCGTACAGTATCCAGTCACTTTTCAGCACAGGAGTGAGAGCAGGAATACAAAATTGGAACCTATTGTTTCCTAGCAACATGGCTCAGGCCATTATAACACAATTTTCAGTATGATTAGAACCTCTAACTGTTGTTATATAGAAACTGAAAATCTTGGCATACACTGTAAACATCTTTACTTTTCATGAGAAAGTAAGCAGCTAAAAAGAATATTTTTCTGACGTAAAGGCTATACTTCTCTTTTTCACCTTCTCTCTTACTGATGCTTTTGCCAGAAGAATAGTAAAGATTTAGACATTGTCATGATTCATACAAGTAAAATATTTTTCAAGGACACAATCTGATATACTAACATGTATTTAAGAGGTTAAAGTCCACCACTAAATCTAAGGAAAGATTTTTAACTGCCAAACACACTTCCTTTGACAAATAATGTAAGGTGACAACTGCCAAGACAACATCCACAGCAAGTTTAACTAAGTATTTTCAGTTACTGTTTAGGAAGTAATTTCTTCTTACACATAGTTATATATTTGGTCCTCAATAGCTTTCACATGAAGGACACACTGAAATAATAGTCACTATTTTGTGTTGATTTTTTTGTTCTTGTTTTCTGTTTTTTTTTTTTTGTTTCGCTTTGCTTTTTCGTGTTTTGCTTTTTTTTTTGTTTGTTTTGTTTTGTTTTTGTTTTCTTTTCAGAATAAATAACCATACAGAAGGCTGTGGAAGAGCAGTCTGGGATCTGAAGCACTAGTCAGGTCAGCTATGTATACGTGACTTCCTCCAAGAAAGCAAGAATGTTGCATCCAATCTGTAGCCTTATGTTTCCCCAAAAGCTAGAGTATGTTTCAATCTCTCTGAAAATTTCTTTTAATATTTGACTACTGTACTTTTGCTTCCATTACCCCCGAACTCTATTAAATTGCCTTTAGCATGAACATATCTTTATAAATGCAACAACTTTGCCCTGACTCTCTCAGGTGATATTACAATGGGGCCTGGTATAGTTAAAAATATAGCTTGAAAAAAGAAAGGAAGAAAGAGAGAAAGAAGAAAAACATGA